CTGTAACTTTTCAATCTCAGACTTTGCCAAGGCCAAATCGTTCTCGAAGACTTGGGCTGCATCCGCATTTTTGTCTCGAGCTAGTCGGACCCCCTCTAATTCTTTCTCAAGGGACGACTTCTCGGAAGCCCAAGCCTTCTTCTCCTCGTCAAAACCACGTCGAGCCTCAAGCAATTTGTCTCGTTCATTAGATACCCACTTAAAATCGGCTTTGCTCTTGGCCCAGCTCTCCTCGAGGGACAGGATCCTTTTTCCTTGCAACTTAGTTTCCCGCACCAACCCGCGGATCTTATCTTCGTTAACAAGTGAAAGAGCAGAGAGGCGATTAGACAATGATTCGATCCCTTTAGCAATGGAGAATGAACTCATCTTCTCCAAGTCCCCCTTATCGCCGTCGAGCAAGTCGGTGCAGCGAATATGAGCAGCGTGGTTGAACTTCTCATCCCAAAACGACGCGACGCCGCTACACTCGTGGCCATGATCCACTGGATCCCAGTTTTCGCCGAGGCAAGCACTAATAGTCCTTTCAGCAGATTGGACCTCGGTATCACCCTTGTCAACCTCGGTGGCTACCACTGTTTCCAGGTTCACTACCGAGACAGATTTCTCGCCCTCGCGCCGACGCTTGTGGGAGGATTCGCCAACACCCCTAGCCACAGTCACAGGCCTCTCGGTCTCCACACCCTTCTCGGTCGCCGATTCGCCGACCCCAGCAACTTGGGAAGCTTTCTGTTGCTTCCAGAGCTTGGCCAATTCCCGATTGCTCATACTCGCCATCTTATCTGCACAATAATCAAATAAGAATTACGTTCTAGCGTAAAAATAAAGCATCACAATAACATACAAAGGGTGATCGGCGAGGGACCGATTACCTATATATATTTTCAATTCATGGGGCCTATTTTCTAAATCTAAGATTTTGGCGGTGTTGAAAACCGTTTTCAATTCCTCAAGTTTCCTAACATCCTCTTGATCATTCTCAGGAACCTTCTCGGGACTTAACCCACCACAGAGGTTAGTTTTCTCGTTCCAGTACAAGGGATACCCTTTAAATAAGTCCTCGTTGCCAGGCGTACAACGAACTCGGAAATAAGATTTCTTGAAGTCCTTATAGTACGACTGAAAAAGGGTCAAAATTCCCCGACCTGATACCCCATGGACGGACACCGAACCACTGCGTTTATTGACACGGCTTTCGAAAAAATAAAAAAACTTCTCTGTAGTCGGTATTATACCGAGACCCCACATAAAACTTCAAAAGCTCGGACAATACCTGACCAGGTTACCCGGCTACAAGCCTTCTCGCCTTACAGGCTCAAGGCTGGAAGGCAAGTGTACCGTCCAGGTCAAAATCCGACTTGACCTTCTGCTCGGACAATACCCGACCAGGCTGCCCGGTTACAAGCCTTCTCGCCTTACAAGCTCAAGGCTGGAAGGCAAGTGTACTGTCCAGGTCAAAATCCAATTAGGCTTTCTTCTCGGGTATTTCCCGACTAGTGTATCAGGCCACAAGCCCTCTCGCCTTCTCGGCTCAGGGCTGGAAGGCAAGAGTGCCGTCCAGGTCGAAATCCGACCTGCACCTCTATTCGACAGTAGGGCGACCATGCCTACTCGGCACTAACCCGACCGAGAGCTCAGCACAGACCTAGTCGGTCATGACTCGACTCGACCTGGGGAACTCGACTCCTCTCGCCTATAAGGACTAAGGAGACTACTCGACATTAACCCGACTGGGTCCTCGGCGCGGACCTAGTCGGTCAGAACCCGACTTATCCCCTTTAACCCCGCACCATCAAGATAAGAACGGTTAGGGAAATCCCTTCATTCTCGGGGCCCAAGAGGCCCATGAACGACGTACCATAAAACCCAAAACCCTAGAGTTGAGAAGGCAGATTACACTTTTAAATGCTCTGGCTCTAAGGCACGATCTAGGAAAAAACCCTAGTCCACCTTTTGGACGGAACAGTTATAAAAAATAAATGATTGAATTTTCTTACTTTACTTTTCTCGTTTTAAAGAACTCGAAACCAATTTATTAAACATTATAATATTCTCCATGTGTCGTAATTGTAAGTATAGCCACGCATAGGGAGAGAGAGGGAGAGAGAAGGAAATTGTAAAAAGGAAATAGAGTGAAAATAATGTTGTTTTATAAGAGGAAAGTATTAGAGAGTAGAAATTAATTTTTAAGAGATTATTTAGTTTAAAAACTAATAAATAAAATTATTTTTATTTTTTATTGAATATTTATTGTTATTATTATTAATTAGAAAAATTATACACATACATATATGTAGAAATGATCTACTTAATATTAGACTTAAACTTATTCTTCACTTAATAATTCATCTTCTACATTAAATTTTAACAATTCAATTATTAAATTAAAAGTTCTTAATGTATAAATAAAGTATATAAATTTTTTAAAATTTTAAAAACTATTTGATACTTAACTATATTAATTTAAAATAATAGATAATCATAAAAATATTATATATTGATTTAAATATATATAATAAAGTATTATATAATTTTCAAAATTTTTTAAAATGTGTAAAATTAATCTATACATTGAGAATTTTTAATTTAACAATTAAATCATTAAAATTTAATATAAAATATAATTTATTAAGTGAAGTAAATCTATCAAAACTTACTCTAAAATAAATTAATTTTATTTTCTCCCTCTTCCTCCTCCCTGTATATATTCAAGTGTGTTGGTTTACATAATTAATTAAGATGAGTAAGAAAATCAAATTTTTGTCACATTACATAAATGTAAAGAAATTTCTTTGGTACTGATTTGACTCTCTCTTACCTTTTCTTCAACATTATTTCTTTTTCTCAAATAACCTTCAAAAGTAATTTCTCCACTCTTTTCTACTCTTTCACTTTCATTCTTTTCTCCCAATCACTATTAATGATTCTCCGAATTTTTTTAATAAATTAACTAATACAAAATTATTTTTAGAAAAAAAAAGTGTATTATTACTTTATTAGAGTGTATACTGCTCCTCTTGTTCGTACATTTTGAGACAGAATGGGACTCCTGTGAGTCTTTGTACCACGGCCACGATCCAAAGTACATAGGTATCCTTTAAGTCGTTGTAATGCTCTTATAACGAACTTGAGGTGAATCTTGGTTTCAGTGGACAAAAGGAAAAGCCAAATCATCGTTATGTTTGATTGGGAGAACAGAAATAGATGAAAAACACAAGAGAGAGAAACATGTGAGTATATACATAAGAAATATAATAAAAATTTGGTTGTTTGATTTAAGAAAAATAAATAAGAAATAATATATATATATATAAAGAAGAAATAAATAAAAAAAGAAAGAGAATGAAATATAAAAAAAATATTTTTATTAATTATTTTATTTTTAATTAACTAAATAAATAATATCTTAAAATAAAATAAATAACAAATTAAAAATAAGAAAATAATTCTAAAGTACTTTTTTAGGTTAAAAACTAATTGAAATGATTAAATAAATTTAAAGTGCATAAACATTTTTGAATATAATATAAAAAGTTTCGTAATCAAATAAAAAAAAATCGAATAAGAAAAATTTAGTATTCAAATAAAAGTTTTGAAATGGGATTCGTGTATTCGAATGAGGTGTTTGTTTATTCAAATAACATTTTTTGACGTTTTAAAATCACTAATACATATTTTCAAAAAATAAATAAATAATTGTGGCAATTTTTTACTGTCATAAATATTAAAAAAAATCAATCAATATATTTTTTGATAATTTAGAAATCGTCAGCAAAAATTTGTTAATAAATACAATTAGTGTATAGATTTTTATGATATTTCTATGCATATCTGCGTGAAAATAAAAAGGTATGGGACTTACACTTTTTTTTATTTCTTCCCTATTACAATTCTTCTATTCTAAACCAATAAAGTTATTTCTTTCCTCTATTTCTTCACTCTTCTCCTTATTTCTTTTGTATCTCTTTCGTAACAAAAAGAGTGTAAAGGCTAACATAAAAATTGTTAAGAATACAAATTCTTTTAGGTCGTTATAAGGAATATTTTGTTGTGGATTTAACTATTTAAGTCTTCTATGGTAATAATTAATTGCAAGAAAATTATATTTTTAGATTATGTACGAGTACATATATATTGAGTATATCTTGTATTCTATTGAGTATAAATTTAATAAAAATTTTGTTTTGCTGGTTTAAAAAATTGCAAAAAAATGTAAACCATGTTAAGCATCGATGAAAAAAGTAATAATACGAATTTCAATAAATTTATTATTTATTCTTTTATTCGCAGGAATTATAATTACGTTTATTTATCGATTATTTATTTTATCATGGAGGTGTAATATTATATTTTTCTACAATATCCTCCATCAACTCGTCAATACGATATAAAGAAAATATTAAATAACAAAAAAGGAAGCACATTAATTATTGTAAAAAAATAAAATAAAAAAGTATATTTTTTATTTAATAAACAATAAAATATTATATAAAAATTTAAAACTATTCATGATTATATTGAGCTCGTGTTTGATTCATTTTATTTTGTAAAATAATTTCTTATTTTAGTAACTTTCTAATTAATCATTTTAAAAGTAAACGATTATTTACCAAAAAAAAAAAAAAAAATCCCAACTAATAATAAGGCACATTTGGATATTTGACCTTTTCTTATAATTAAGGAATTCATATCCTTTAACTATATACACTTTATCATGATTTGTATAAGGCGGTTTCTAAAATTCTAATGGTACGGTCTTCCAATATTACAAGTTGAATATAATGATGTAATATATATATTCAGTATAATTTTGTTATCTTATTTATTGGCAATGGCCTTCAGTATTCACAAATCATAATCATTCTTATGTAATACAGACGTATCCTCTTTTTGTAAGCGCTTATTTGTGGAATGGAATAAATGGCTGCACAAAAATATCATATTATTTTCATTTGTATTCGTGATTCTGATGAAGTCATAGAAATAAATTTTATCCTCTTTTTGCACATCATGTCATTAAGTATGCTAATTAAGAAGTCATCTTCTTAATTTATCGGATATTAATGTCCTTGAATCGTATATATGAAGTTATGAACTCATCAAATATTCGTGTAATTGAACAGGGGGTATCCTTCTACTCCATCGTCATTACATTTTTGCTTTGTGGAAGAAGAAAAAAAAAGCGACCATCCCCAACGATGCAACGGTGATAAGAGAACAAGATGGTGCATAATCTGGCTTTCTTGTGCCTACTTACAACATGAATAGTAATACATCGTCAAAATGACTAACTTATTTAAACTTGACTTGTTCATAAGTTAAAAATTTTCTATATTATATAGACTTATTGGTAGAAGGTGATGTGCCTGATAAGTGTTGATGATAAAGACTATCCAAACATGTCTTAAGAAAACAATGAAAAAAACTCATGCAACTCTTACCCCTTTAACTCAGCATGTGTAACGGCCTTGTTGTTGTTTCTATTATTTTTGCTGCTGCCTCCATTAATGATTCTCTTGAGGTCATCTGGTTGGCAAGGGATTGCAAGTGCTCCAACCTGAGAGAAGCCGAACTCTTCTTCAGCTTGGTTCAACAACTTGACAAAGTCAGGGTGATCCAAAAACCCCAACTCAACAAAGAATCGCTCAGGCTTCCATCCTTGGGTTGCAATCACCACAAAATGGCCTTGCTTCACCCCCTTGGCACGTGAGAAAGTGGTGTGAAGTTTCCTCATCACGTGCACCACTGTTCCAAACCCTCCCATCCACAATCCCCAAGAGCTTCTAGTACCACATGCTGTTTTACCCATGCCCAGAGAAACCAATAGTGGCCTGAGTGAATGAGTTTCTTTTGGAATTTCCTACATGCAATGCTGCACTATATATAGTGGCCAAAAGATAAATGGAAGATGACGATGGGGTGGGGACAGTCGCATGTGAACTCTCATTAAAGGTGAATGTCATTGCTCCCCCATTTTGGAGACGAAGTTAGTTCCGTCTTTCATGCACCATCTTTCAACTCATTACATGCAAAGAGAAAAAAAACATACACAAGACAAAAAGTACAATACTCCACTCATTTCAACTTGTCATCATTCCAACTGGACCCTCTCAATTAACAAAATCAATCATGTTAATGCTTTCAAACCCTGATTATTTAGCTAGTATCGCAAGAAATGAAGAAATTCTATACACAAATAAGAGAATATTATTATGAACGTCTTGCTGTGAAATTCGATCGGTATTCATCCGGACGTATCAGCGATTTTCTCAAGAAAAGGATTCATAATTTGATCCAAGTTCTAGTCTATTCAAAAGAATAGTCCAAACTTTGTAATGTTAATTCACTAAAAATAGATAAAAATAAAAATTACATGATATATAAAATTATTATAATAAATATAATATATAGTTACATTCAATTTTAATATTGATTTTGAATAATATTTAATAATATATATTATGTCATTATAATTTATACTTATACTTTTAACAATATATTAATATATTATTATAGATTATATTTATAATATAAATAAAAATATTTTTAATAATAAATATTATATCATTATAGAATGTGTATGCATGAGAGTTTTTTTTGTAATGCAAGATTTATGTGTTAAACTACTCCAAGGAAAGTTGCAACAAAAAAAATGTTGTAAACTACTAATAAAAATTGCATAAAATAAATGAAAGTAGTAAATAAAATTGTAAATTTGAGTGAACAAGGTAAATATTGTATTGATTCACGTTGTAGCACTTGATTACATCACGATTTCTCCTATATATATTGTTAAAAATAATAATTAGCTAATAGTCGTTCCTAATAACTACCGCGCGTCTTAGATTTTAGGGAGATCATGGGAGGTATATACGACCTTAAGTTCTGGCATTACTGGTTTATGTAGGTGCTGGACTCCCATGTTCTCATAAAATACAAGAGACTTAAAATTTAACATTGACCAAGCATGTGAGCAAGCACTTTTTCATTGCATGTTGCAATGATCATGTGAGCAATTAATATGAAGAAGAGTAAAGAATAATGTAGCTTTTGCGTTGCAATACGCATACTTTTATTATTTCCCTTGGCCAAGAACAACGTCGTCTACTGATTGCACACTTCTGCTTTGACAATAGCGGATGTTGGAAGTAGCAAGTAGGAAATTATCGTGATCATGATAGCGACGACTGGCAAGAGTGTTCAAACTAGCTGCATAGTAAATTATTAGAGAACATCTGTAAATAACTACTACTTAGCTTGACTATTTTCCTTTTTGCTTTTACGTACGTTTTTTCTTACAATAATGTTAGGAAAACGATTGATTATTCGGTGTAAAAAAACATTAATATAAATTTTCGTGGACTTGAAAATAATTATGATCGTAAGAATTAATTTCCTGATGAATAAAAATGTGTATGTTTCACGTTGGATAAAGCTTCTTAAGCATGAAGTATGGACATTAGCTCACAGGGAAGATATTGTGCAGAATTAAAAGTGTAAGACCTACTAAATCATATAATAAAATATATGCAAAATGATATTTTTTTATATAAATTTAAATTAAAATACAGCTCCATACAAAATCAGAGTCAACCATCAAGAATTTATACTGAAATTACAAATTATTTACTACATCCTCAACATAAATTATGAGAGAAAATAGATTTGATTTCAGGTCCTAACTATAATAAAAATAAGGACCAACTACATTACTGTGGTTAGACAACAAAATGAGATGTGTATGAATATGACTTTCCTCTTCCCCATATTGCAGTAACCTTTCAAGCTTTTCTTAGAAGGAAATAAGAAATTCCTCCAATGAACGCAAGTTGGCATTTGATGCTAAAATGAAACAAGGGGAATGTTAGATAGACATGACGCGAGATATTATACTTACATATGGGCAACAAAGCGTAAAAGGTGTACTATTTGGAGTGTAGCAGCAGCCCAAGGACAATTTACAATAGTAAATCCTTTGGAAACACAGACACACTACTAATAGTATGATTGGATAGCCCAAAAAATAAGTCGAAAAATTGAAGTAATTATTTGTTGTTTTAGGTTTGAAGGTGAAATTGAAATTGATTATGGTAACTAGCAGTGATGGCACGTGCGTGATAAGTGAAATAACATGATGGTGATAGTAATCTTGCCTTGTGTATGCAGCCGCGTTAAATTTTAGGACTAGCTATCCTATCTTTTGAGGTACCTGCAACGTAGCGAGGAGATTAGTCACTGCTATCGGCGGTGGATACTGGAGGGACGAACTAAAAACAAACAAAAATAGCAATACATAGTATGGTAGAGATAGCGACAGGGTAGGTGTCCGAAGAGGAGAAGCAGACAGAAACAGTAGATTGCAGGCAGTTATGTAGTGGTTTAGAAACATGATTAAGGTTGGAGAAGAAAAGAAAAGAAAAGAGGGTACGTAGAATAACAACTTTGTGGTATTCTGAAAATAGAAGGATGAGTGAGTTGTAAAAGAAATAATTAAGAAAGATGAAGCTAGCGCACCGTTTGGATGATCATGACTAGGAGAGGAGGTGAACTAGGTTGGCGCAGAGGAGGAAGAGGAGAAAGAGAAAGAAGAAGAGTAGAGCGAAGCGAAGGAGGAAGATAAGGAGAAAGAGGGAGAGGATTATGGAAATGGGAGACTCTAGAAACACCAACATAATTGCACCAATCCACCTCTTCCCCCATTATCTACCTTCGTTTTATCATCGCACCACGGGTCAAACCTACTACAAGCAGCAGTGGTTGGAACTTAGAACTAATGAAATCAAAATAAATACCTTATTCGTTAGGTTTTTTCTTGCCCTCTACGTTTTCACTCTTCTAAATAAAATAAAATGAAATAAAGTATATGGTTGCTTCAATGTTTTCAAAACTCAACCCATGATAAACTAATTAATGTATAGAATTAGTGGATCAAGAGTTGTCGACAAGTCGTTAATTAAATTTATGATCTAATTTTTATTAAATTTTAAAAAGTATATACATATTATATATCATACTTATACATATTTTGTCAAATATAAATACAAAAGTAGTCTATTTGGCATAGTGATTAATGAGATCATATTTAATCTCCATATGACTAGGTCTCATATCTTACTTGTAATTAATATATACCATGTGCACATACAAAACACAGTCTAGATTAAACCAGTTTATATTGAATCAATGACATAATCAATCTAATGAAAGACTAATTCTTTATTCAATTAGTCTTATCAAACGGAGTTATTGATATAATCGATCTAATGAAAGGTTAATTTTTGGTTCAATTAGTCCTACTAACCAATCTAAAAATTATGGGTTGGACTCTCATAAATATAATGACTTATTTTTAATAGAGTATTTGCATATATTTTTTAAGTCTTTTATCTAATTTAATTTTCATTTATTGTATTTATTGATAAATTAAATTTTAATATTTTTAAAATAAATTATCAATAATTTAAAATATAAATTATTTATCACAAATTTATAATATAATTTATATGTTTAAGTAAAAAAAACTGAATAATCAGTCGTATAAATAATTTTAAAATAAAAATTCAGAAGCAATATAAACAATTTAAAAAAAAAAAAACTAGTAAAGCGAAATAAAATTTAAAGAAAATGTTTCTTATAAGTATAACTAAACACATTAAATTTTATTTATATAATAACTTTGTTAATTAAATAAGTCACTTGTTTTAAAATCATTTATTTAAAGTTTAAAAAGATGTACTACTACTGGATCAGTTTAGTGGTGAGAACCTTACTACTATTTAGCTGTACAGGATTTTAGGATATTATATATATGATTTTAGGTTGAAATTTTTATTGTTATTATTTTAATTTTTACGAATATAAAAAAAATACTCTTAATATTACATTTTTTTACCATATAAGTATAAGGTATTTTTATTGAAAATAAAAAGAAAGTCTATTGGGCTTTCAAATAATGCATTCTGGGCTATGCCCATTGGCAATTGAACCTTACCGCTATTTAGCTGGAGTAAATAATGAACAAAACTCTTTTTGTGGCCCAAACAGTGAAAATCAAAGCCTAATATAATTTATACATTGACATTGGACTGAGCTTTCTAGTTTCTGCATGTAAGATAGTAGCACTACACAAGACCACAAGAAATGACACAACGTGAATGATGCTCCAGAGGTCACTCTTCCACATTTATATTTGATTAAGATACACATGATTCTATCTTATTTTTAACTCATTTATGCTTAAACTATATGATTTACTCCTAATGTGAATGGTTTTCATCAAAACATTATTGCACACAAGGCAAAAAGAGAAGCAGACGGACAAGACACTTCATTAATCTACATTTATGCCTGTCCAGAAAATAATGGACCTTTTCCACTAGACTAGCTTTTGGTTGAATTTTAAGCCATTATCTCCTTTTCATCTATCATATTTCTCGAATGGATCCTTTTCATAATTAATATTTGCTTATTATATAAGTATTTTAAAAGTCTAAATTGAAAATATAAAGTAATATTTTAAATTATAAAAGTATGCATATTTCATTCATATAAAATTTCAAAAATTATATTTAAATAAAAAAAAAATAAGATTATTAAAGTAACACAATTAATTTAAAATCAAAATGACACTTACTGTTTTTCGAATAAAAAGTACTCGAAGACTCGAATTGATTAAGTCACTCTAAATATAATGCATACTATTTTAATATGTACAAATGAATTTAAAGAAAGTGTGTGTATATATAATTTAAGAATGTAATTTATTTTAAAATTAACTTTAAAATTTCTTAAATTCTATATATAAAAAATAAAATATAAATTTAATGCAAATTTTGTGAAGCTGCTTATTTCAAAGAGGGAAAACATATTAAAAAGTGCTCTAAAAACTAATAACTATGTTTTATTTTATAAGAATAGTTTTTTTTAAAATAAATATTTTTAATAATTATATTATTTGTTTTAATCGAAAGACAAGTTTATCCCAACTTAAAGAGGAATTAAGTTTACATTTGATAAAGATTCGATTATATATATAGGAATCTTTAAGGGTCTAAAAACCAAAAAAGACAGGACCCTTTGTTGTTTGTTATTCAAATGAAAACGCCTTTGATTTTATTTCTTCTATTGAGTAATTTAGAAGATTAATTTTTCTACTCTCCCATTCTTATACGTAATTGACATATATTTGATTCTTAGTGCAGTACCCACTTCCCATTATGAACCTACATACAGTTCTTGCGTTTTCAAAATAGTTGAAAATTGGATTAGAATTCGTATTCTTATTCAAAACGCCTCTAAAAGTAAAAAATTAAACAATCTATTATCCATTTTCCACCTCAAAATTTTAGGATAAGTCAAACCAAGTTGTAGCCATAAAGTCGGACAAATGAGATTGAATTGCGACCAAAGTGAGATGGAATTATTTTGAGCTCAATGCACGTGTTTGTGTACAAGGACCAGAACAAATTCGGCCTTTTAAGAATCCTGATTTACACTCTATGCCTGTATTAAGGATGCGTTCATAAAAAAATCTCAACGAAACATCTATCAAATTTGAACAAAATCAGTTAGCAGTATAATCATTAGTTAAAAATAAGTGTATTTTATCAACAAAAATTGTGAATTAGGGTATCCGATGAACAGAAATTAAAATCTAACATTAATCGACTGAGATATTAATTTTTTTTTACAAGAATTACTTTTTTTTAATGAATATGTCTAGGACTCCCAATCACATATTTAAAGGACGAAATTATATTTTCATATATATATATATTATGTATTATTAATTTTTAAACAACGGTTATAATATAACATATTAAAAAAATATCCTAATTCTACGAAGGCAATTTGTAGTGCAAAAGATTAATTGTTGATTTGAAAAAGTAAATGAAAGGAGGGAAGGGACCATAGGTTTGAGACGTGTGAAAGAGGAAAGGCCCACTCGTGGCGTGAAAACTGAAACTCCAACACGGCGCCACGTGTCAATGACTTGGAATGGACCTACCAAATCCAAATCTTGTCTCATGATGCATAGGCTTAACTCAAATTAATTAATTAATTAATTAATTAAAATACTCACCCCACCTTCAAACTCCTTCACCTCTTCATCCAGAACTTTCCAATGCCCTTTTCAGTCTCAAACCCTTACCATATCAACATTAATTAATAGCAACCAAATAATTTAGAATTTAAATATAAAATATATTAATTACTATTTATAACAGCAGATATATTGAATAAAAAGATTATCATGATCGAGGACATACATGAGGACATGCATGATCCATGATGTATCATGTATGTATGTGGATGTGGGCATGGATGAATGAATATATATATATATGTATGATGATGATGATAGAGCAAATGAGAAATGGCCCATGAAAGAATCTAGAAGAAGCCGACATATTCCTTGGTGTCACAATCACGGCTGAGTCATATAACGGGGACCTCACTCATGACTCATGACTCATGACTCATCTTCCTCTTCATTCTCATGTCTCAACAACAGAACACGTTACACGGTCTCCCTTCGTATCTATTATTTCACCAAAATCTTCTCTAATACTGTACATCATTGTCTTAACTCAATGTAAACTAGTTCCTCCCCAAAACCAGCACACACACTGTAATTCCACGTGTCACCCGTTGGGGGAGAACCTTGCCTCGTATCCCATATCCATCATGTGTTTTCATCACCTAATCCACCACCCTCCTACCAAAACAACTCTTCTTTTTAAGATTAATGGAACCAAGCAACGACCCAATTCACAATGTACGTGCCTATGGCTATTCCTAATGCAACATTACAAAAAAAAAAAACCCATGAATTCAACATATGATTCGATCTTCTTAATAAAATTGCATGCAAAGATTTTCTATATATTAAAAAAGGGAAGGTGGTGAATGGTGATGGCAATGAATCACTGATGATAACTGTGTGCGTATATATTACTCATACTGCCATGGTGGGATCTGTGAAATTGAGATATGTATATATGGATAATAAAATACTTGTAAACTGTGACACATTCCTCACACATAATTATATAAAACGGTAGAAGAAATGTTATTCTTTTGGGGTAGATAAGATAATTTAATTGATTCACAGAAGGCTGCGGATAAAAATAAACTATAAACTAGAAGACGAGACGAGTGGCATTAAAATTTAAAATACAATATCGTTGAAAAAATATGCTATAACATTCGTATGTATAGGTTTTCTTTATTCTTTTTTTAAAAGAAAAAAATATATTCAGGACGGTTAATCTTACGTTATTCTGATATTTTTTATTTTGTGTTTGGGATTTACCATCATTCGATTCTTTTTTTACAATTATCATTTGAGTTATATATTGTGTTTCAGATATGGTCACCATCTCCCGACAGAGCTGATCACAAGATTTAAAATGTTACCATCATGCAATGAAATACTTTTTGTGGACTAGGATTAATTTATTTATTTTTACTGTTTTTTTAAACATATCTTGAAGAGTTTTTAAAATAAAATAAATAAATTGTTTCTCTTAATATTTTGAAATAGTTGTCAAGTGAGGTTATGTTTGAAAAATTATCTAAAAGCTCAAAAAATGGTGAAAAATTAAACATAATATATGAAAGCCGAAATTATCAAGCTAACTTTGGGTAAACAAATTAGAGCCTAATAGATTTTAAATAAAATAAAAAAACTTAGCAAATATAGTTAAAGAAAGTAATGGAAAGAGAAATATAAA